GCTGTAGGTGACCCTGTTTCGGCAGGAGGGTTGGACTAGATGACCCACAGAGGTCCCTTCCAACCCCGACCATTCTGTGATTCTGTAATTCTGTAACTGAAAAAACGGGTGAATCGACATCATTACGCCGTTACAAACACCCGTCACGTATCCATCGATACGCCGCAACGGAACAGCAGAGCAAATATTGAAACACCGTGCATTTAATTGTAGCTTTTACAACACGAAAGCGAGCGACGGTTCCTTTTCCAAGCCACGGAGGGTTGAGCAGCTACAGCCAGCTTGCCGAAGGTCTCGGTGCAGAATCCGTTCAGCATCCTGCGACGCGTCGCCGCTGGGGAAATCCTCAGCGAACGGGGTGGAAATCCTCCAGAAGCTCTCCTATTCTCCTCTTTTCTGCAACAGGCAACGGGTAGAGTCGCAAACACCTCATCAGCATCTGTGATCGACTCTGAGGACTTTTAATATTCAAGTCTTCAGGTTAACAAAGCCACCAAAATCTGTTTTTTTGCTCCCAACAGTGAACCATTCGCTTGATGCAGTGACGGGACACGTCACTTCTTTTCCACAGGCCTCTCCTGTGACGAGATCTTGATATTAACAGTTCCTTATTTCTACACATTCCTTCCGGCACGGCACGGTGCGCATTACATTCCAACAGCCGGAGGCACCTAACCGTGTTCTATTCAGAAAATCGCCAGTTTTCACCAAAAGTTGCCATTGCGTCGCTGGGCTGAGTGACGACATTTAGTGACACGCCACGGCTCTCAGCCAGCGGCGCTTCAGGTTCCCCGACGTTTCTATTTACTCTTTTTTCCACCTGCTCTGCTTATTTTCTGGACACTCATCACACCGTTTTTAAGTCGGCAGGCGCTGCGACTTTACAGGAGTAAGCAGTAAAGCCTCAATTTTACAAGAATAAACCCCATGATTTCTAATTCTCAGTACTTCGTTTCTCCTGCACTGGCACGAGTTTGGTCTATTCTTAACATTTTTTGGCTCTGCAGTTTTTATATTCAACAAAGTTTTTAGGAGGAAGAGTTGGCCTCAAGGCAGCCGATTGGCTTACTAAAAATATCCATTTTCGTATCATAAAATCCTTAATAGTGTTGCAATTTAGATTGTGAATAAGCAGGAAAGAGCCAGCAGTCGGTACGACCTGCTAGAAAAGGACAGAGTCTGCAAGCAGCCCAGCAACGCCTTCACATAAATTAGCGCTAATTACCCAGCACGTGACGGCAGGCTGAGGTCTCTGTTAACACAAACCACCAGCTTATGGTACCTGCTGCCTTGAAGTCCGCCGGGTGCTGCCTGACGTACTCGAACAGCTCTCTGTCCAGCTTGGCGTGGACGTAGTCCATACGCTTCACCAGGTAATAGCCCACGAACCAGCCCACGGTGGTGAAGAGGACCTGGCGGTGGACGCCTGCAGCAGGAGGGATGTCCCCCCTGCCTCGGGCCATCTCCTGGCCCCGGGAGGGCCCCCCGCTTTCCCCAGAACCCCCCTGAAACTTTATCCCCACATGGCCCAGCTCCTTGCTCCCCGCTT